CGAAGACGAGCATGTTCCGAAGAATATGCCAACACTGTACAGCCTATGAACAGGCAACATTTATACCCAACCGCCACCATACAACTACACCTGGCAAATGGCAAACTACCACAACAAGAGAAAATTTTAGTTAAATTTCAATTCCTCGAACAAATTAGACTCAAGACCCTCCAACTCTTTGTTCCAAACAGCAAGAGGCTCGGGGGCTACACTCAGTGAGTGCACCTTTTTCTTTCAAAAAGCGCACATCACCAAGAAGACTTTTTCAAGACAAAACTACTTCAAGGACTCACGACAAAAAGAAGCCGGACTGAGCTATACCCGAGTTCTTTTTGATAAAGAACCCGGGAACATGCACAGAAACCTTTCAACGAAGTTCAAAGACAAGACCCTCCAGCTCCTTGTACCAAAAAGCAAGAGGCTCGGGGGCTACACCCAAATGGGAGTACTTTTTTCTTTAAAAAAGCACATACCACTCGAAGATCCCAAGAAGCGCTACATGGTTTCACTCAAGAAAGCACTCGGGCGACGCTTGTTCCTGCTCGGCAAGACCTGGAGGAACAAGACAAGGCTTCCGAAGTTCAACCATGAAGTGCTCGGGGGATTGTCGGTGCAGGACCCACAGGATACCCCGCAAGGAAGAGAGAAGATCTAGTCTAACTAGGATTCTCCCCATGTAATCTTAGTAGTAGTATTTTGTAATCCTACTAGGAACTCTCATTGTAAACCGACTAGGAATCTGACCTCCTGACTATATAAAGGAGGGCAGGGTTCCTAGAGAGAGAAGGATACTACACAATCAATCCAACGCAAAGGCTAACGCCGATTGGACGTAGGGCTATTACTCGACCACAGTCGAGGGCCTGAACCAGGATAAATCGACTGTCTCTTGCGTTCACCGTCGAGTTCCGCATACGCTGAAGCCCGAACAATACTGCCCCGGAGACCCCCGTGGCAGGCTATCGGTGGTAAAACATCGACAGTGTCACTTTTCTTAAATGAGATATGTTGTATGTTGTCAAAAGTTCACTAAAACAATAAAATTCGGTGTTGATTACAAACTAGTATAGTAGTTACCTACAGTTAGAATACACTTGTCCTACATTGAATTCCTTTTCCTGCCATAGGTTCCGCTCTTTGATGTTGTACTATTTTAGCTACCACTTGCACTTAACCTATGCAGACTGTTCAGCAGTGCAAGTGAAGCATGGAGTACTGCACCTCTCCCATGCCCTATCCTGGATTCTTTTGAATTAACTAAAAAGATGTGTGAAACATTTCATATTTCAGTATTATCCTAACTATTGCTTTACTGCCTACTTTTCAGAACCAATGAGTGATGAGGAACACAAAGAAGAGAAGGGATGCATGTGGGAGAAATGGTCTTTGGCAAAGAACACATATGCCTTCATTGCCAATTAATTTATTTCTTGTTATTCAAAATTAGGTATATGTATTAATATTTAATTGTCCAATTGTATTTTTTGGTCTGGAGATGGGTACTATTTTCTCAATCATTAGTTTCATCTAAAATCTAGAAAAGAACCATGTACTTTGCTATGTGATGGCCACAGACATAATATTTGATGTCGCTATTGATCTCGTTGACTTAAAATTATCAACATTAGTTTAGTATTGCGGTCTATGAATCGATAGAACAAAACTGCATCTTCAATTTTTTTGGATTTCCCCCCGTGTATGTTCTGATATATTGTTTGTTAGATGGGGTATCTTCTACGTTCATTCTTCGTGTAGGTTTTTGAGAAGATGCGATAATATGTAGGACGACAAGGGGGTTGGAAGAGATAAGGGGTAAAAAGTGGGCAATTTGATAAAAGATTGATTGTGTAGTTGTGTATATACCTCAATCGGCCGTGTACCCCATATTTTATAATGAGTAGGGGTTGTCTTATCCCATTGGAAAACCAATTTAATCATTTGTTGTTTTGCAGAGTTTTTCTTCGATTAGGCCAAAACGGACATGGGTTGATTCTAAAACCAGCTTGGGCCTGATTTGAGCATCAACAAAATTATGTCTGAGTTTTTGAGAAACTACGATGGATTTTGTCTGCCCCTTCCAGCAGCTCCTAGAAAATATTAGTGTGTTTGGTTTGTGGAATCAATGCAAACTTCATGAGGTGGTGCATCATGAGTTTATCTCATGAATTTTAGTAGAATCAACCTATTCCTCATGCATATACTAATTATTAACATGTGAGGAACGAGGTAGTGATGGACCAACTTATTTCATTCCACAAATCAAATAAAAAAAGAAGTAAGAAGAAGATGCATCACTTTATTCTTCAAACAAACTCATCCATTGTTTATTATTGTCAGGTTCAAGTACGTGGTGTCACGAGCGTGAGACAAATGATGGATTCAGGTACAGCATGGAAACATGGTCATGCGTTAAGGATAACTAGGCCGGGTTGCGCGCTTCGCTGCGCACGCAGGTGATGTGTACATCTCTGTGTTTTTCTTGCTGTGAACTTGTGATACCGCTCTTGCTAAGGTTACATCACTTTGATCTTTGTGAGTTGTGACTGGTATTCGAGCATCGTGGATGCGTGAGGATAGCGTGGCTTGCCTTTTCGGAGTATGTTGACGTGGTATTTCCCTTTCAATGTGGTATATGTATTGTTTTGGTGATTCATTTAGATCTTTCCGTATTATATATAATGTTTAGCTATGATGATGAAGCGAATACACATGGGATACAAAGGAAATTAGAAAAGTATACATATGCAAATACTGACTGGATTCATAAAGGGAGCATATAACGTTCTTTGCAAAAAAAAAAATCCAAATTTGCCCAACTATGTATTGATTATTTTAAAAATACATGGACACAGGACACATGATTTAAAAATAAAAAACAGTTCTGGCTGAACCCGCTAAGGCTCATACATCGTGACATAAGCACCGATTCACTTTGGCAAGCCAAATTTCCTAACTTTCCCTTTCACCTATAACTTAAAATAAAAATAGAGAACATATATCAAATGAATAAACATTATACAGATTGAGGTTTGTCAGAACAAATGGAGTGTAGTTCCATTTGAACATTGGAAATTACCTTAGCTTTTATGCAACAAAAAAGAGGTGGTCTCAAGCTTTGAAGATTCACATGTTTCAAAATTGTGAAGAGGTGGTTTCAATATTCACAAGGGATCATAAAAAAAGTGTGAACTGACCTCTTCCAGATTTGGTGCTCCAGCTAGTATTGTATTATAACCAAGTAAATAGTTAGTCCCCACTAAAAATATATAGAAGTCAAAAGAGTCATGTTGTAGAGGAAAATGACAGATTGTAGATGAAGTTATCTGAAGTATGACAGGATCTGGTAGCTTTCTGGACATAATGTAGAGTAGTTCTACTCCAGGTTTCATACACAAAACTTATAAAACAGAGGTTTGCAAAAGAGTGTAAAGCCATCAGTAATATATGGTATTTTTTATCATAATAAAATCATGATATCACTAACAAAAAAGACTGTCAAGCATGAATATAATTTAGTGTTAATTTTATATGCAAATTATGCTAGCACCATGAATATAAAGGTCACCTAAAGCACATTATTTCATAGTATTTGACTGTACTATAGGTTTGAAACTTTGGGCAAGTTCATTTTCTTTGAACAACTGCTTTTTGCCATGATCAATAACATCATTCAGAGGTTTTCTGAACACCTTGTCCATGTAATGATAATAACAAATGTGCCACTGACCTATTGGATGTTGGATCTCCACTTGCAGTATGAAGCTCACAGCTGACAGCTCCCAGGCAAGGAAGCAGTCATTGCTATTCTGAGTGGTGTGTGCTCGATGCGTCATGGCTTCCATTTAGCAACTCAGTATTGTAAGCCTTCAACATTACAATTAACTTTTAGAGCACAAACAGATCAGCAACACTACTGATCTCTCTGCTACACGATTTTTATGACAAAGAATACCACTGCAAGACGTGTGTTTACCTTTTTATGGGAGAAGAGGCTTAACAAAACGATTAGCTCAAAAAGATATAATGTAGAAAAGATTCATCAGGTGAATAACTTTCCTTTAACATTCCCCCCTCCCACGGGCCAAGAAGAAAAAAGAAAAATAGATTCCCAGCATTTAGTGCAGTGCAATTCAAACACAGGACGACTTATATTGTAGGCATGCAAGTTTTGATCGAAGTCATCACTCTAGTGTCCGGTAAGCACAAACATAAAAGAAATCGCCATATAGGGAACATCCGGCACATCAGCCAAAGATGCTCGACGCATATTTTATGAGAAGTGATAATAGCAAGAAGAATAAACAACAGTAGTGTAAACTTACATTTTAGAATCACATGATTGAGGAAGAGAATCTGAGCGCTCATATCCATAGCCCAAGTCTTTTAATCACAAAAATTATATTATGATAAAAGAATTCATAGACCTGCTCCAAGGAATTTATCATTCAGTAAAATTATCTAATTTTTAAACAAATAAACATAAAGCAAGTCCTTACAATAATTACCATCGATATTTTACAGGCATAAATTATACAGGGATTCATTAGAGCTAGTTGAAGTTATATAGATAACATTGCCGATTTCCCACCTCCAAAGGCTTTTTAAAACAAGCACATATAAGATGCTTGATTTTCAAACACCATAAAATGTACAATTTTTAGCACATGTGAGCCATCCAGGTGAGCAGAAACAGGCCAATGGAAAAACTGCGCCATCTAATTTAGACATTTTTTTATTTCATACATTCAATGGCAGCTACATATTTGCACAGTCAAAGCATCAGGATAAAACATTCAATAGCTAGAATCATACCATGGCATACAAGTAGCAATGTCTTGTAGCAACTTTGAATCCGGAAGAAGGAATTAGGAACATTTTGCCATTAGAAAGGACTACATGTTTGCGCTGCATGTAACAATATTCACAGATACTGATAATGCGATCCATTAGAAGTACCATGGGTGCAACGTGGGCTAGAGTCTGACATACGTCCTTCTGACATGATAGGAAGCTCTAGGATCGTTGAAGCTGATGCAACCGCCGTTCTTGAGGTCTGCACGATAGAAGAAATCAAATTGAGTCAGCAACAGTTGAAGCAAGCCAGATATATACAATGGCATACTGCAAGCGGGATGGTTGAAAAGAATGGTCTGTCTAATGACATGAGATAGAAACATGTGTAAGAGCAATTGCCTATGAAAACAAACTATTTCAGTTAGAGAAAAAAAACAGAACTATTTTTCCCAGGCTAGACATATAAGATGGAATAAATACTAACCTTCTATACATATGGATGCTAGGTCTCAGTTCCATCATTTGGAACTACAATCCACCATGGTATGCCCATATACAATTCTGCGATCTCAGATAGTCTTAAAAAAAATCCACCAAAGGAAATTAAATTTCTATAGGGAAACTAAGAAGAAATCAATCTCAAGTACTGTAGTTAAGACCTAACCAAAGTAGTTAAGACCTAACCAAACACATTTTTTGTACAAGTAGATCAAGATCGGACACCAGATCGAGATGATCAACATGGAGAAGGAGGGGGCGTGAACCTCAATGCCAGGAAGACGGCAAGGTAGACTTGGGGAGCCGCCTGCTGGCGGAGATGAGGATGAGTGCGGCCTCTGACCGTCGCTTCCGCTCTGTGGATGCTGCGGCGCCCTAGCGCGCCGCCGCCTCTCCGCCCCTGGTTCGGGCGACAATTGCAGTGAGCAAGGCTGGTCGCCAGATCTGCATGCCATTGCCGGGAGAGGATGAGGCGATGAAGCCGCCGACGACACGCGCAGCCTTAACCGTGAAGGAAGGAAGGACGCCGAGATCCGGCCCCGCTTGCCCGGGGAGAGGAAGAGGAAGAAGCGCGGACGGAGGCGGCGAGGCGCGGTGTCGGGTGCGGTTTTTTTCCTTTTTTTTATTTACTTTGATTTGACGCAGGCACAGGAAGAGACCCAATCCTGAGAGAGCAAATCGATGCGTGCACACGCACGATGCCACGTGGATACACTAGATTGGCTAACAATATTTAGAACAGTAACCAAATCGCTCTCCTACTGCGGATTCTATGAGCTATATGGAGTAGTATATATATATATATATATATATATATATATGTTCGGAGCCTTGGAGGAGACTGCACAAGCTCTTCGATCCTGGATGAAGATATAGAAATCCAAGGGAAGAGAAAGGAGAGAGCGTTTCCAATTGTTCCAAAAAAACACTTGGTAAATCAACAAGTTTTCCAAGTGGCTGAGCATATTTATTGGGTTCCTCTAACAGTTTCGAATATCTCGGTCCTAAAATATACTCCCTCCATCCCAAATTATAAGTCATTACAAGAATCTTGAAAAGTCAAAAGATCTCAAGTTTAACTAAATTTATATGATAAAATAATAATATTTATGGTACAAACTAAGTAGATTCTTCATTAATTATATTTTCATAGTATATCAATTTGATGTTATAATTTTTTTTTAATTTTCTCTATAATTTGGTCAAACTTGATATGCTTTGACTCTCCAAAATTATTGGAATGACTTATAATTTGGAATGGAGGGAGTAGAAGACAATTTTACATCGCAATCCGGGATTAATTCTAATCATCATAACCACTTTAATATTTTCTTTCTCTCTTGTATATTTGCATTAGGAACCATGGATTCGTGCTGGTAAAACTTTTTAAGTTTGACAAGATTTATAGAAAATAATAACAACACTTATATCTCCAAAAAAGTTTATTATAAAAATATATTTGAAGATTTATCAATGATACTAATTATGTATGATAAGTATTAATATTTTGTTATATATATGGCCAAAATTAAAGATAGTTGACTTTTTTATAAGCGAGAATGACTTTTTTTATGGGACAAATGGAGTAAAAAAGATATTAACATTTGATACTAAATAAGTATCATTAAATTAATTATAAAATATATTTTTAGTAAACCTAGTTGAAGATATAAATATTAATATTATTCATAAAAAAATGATCAAACTTAGGCTAGTTTGACTTGCATAACTCTTATAGTTGCATTTTTTTTTTGATGGAGTGAGTAAATTTTTAAGATCAACTATGCACGATAGAAAAATCCATCCAACTAAATTGCCGGGAAGAAAAAATTTGTCATTTAAAATGGTGAAAGTTAAATCCTGCATATTCATTTAGCGAGTGGAGCATATTTTTCTGATTTTTTATTGATGAAATTATTGTTCTCAAAGAATGAATTTATAAAAATAATTCTGGTGGGCTCTGGAAGAGATTTTGGGTCCGGCCAAGGACGTGAAATAAAATATGGTCTAATAATGAAATCAATTCAGAGCAATTCCATGTTCTAGAAGATAACTTATTATTATAAAAATTTGTTTGATTTTAATTTTGAGCCCGAGCATCGAATGTTGGCGCGTCAAGCACGTCATCGAGAAGCGTCTCGAGGTCGGCGTCCCATCACACTGCAGGTGGGCCCCCGATACAGCCTGAATCAAACCTGCTCCCCTCCCCACGTGTGACCTCCAAATCTCCTCCGTCCGTTCCTCCCTCAACGGCCATGATCGCGCCCTCGTGACGTGGCCCGAGACATCCGAGCCCGCACATCCGGCGCAATTACCTCGCTAATCCCCCATTAATTTAGTATTACTATATATATTTTTTATTTTTTTATCAATTATTATTGTTACCACAGGCTCCGCGGCTTTTGCCTTTCCTGCGGCAGCGAATCGGAGAGCGGAGGGAGGGGAAGGGGGAAAGCGCAGCAGCGACGGCGAGCGAGCGGGCCGTTCGAGGATCGCAATGTGAGCACGAGCGGGTTGGTTCCGATTCCCGAGCCGCATCCTCTCCCCGGGTGCCCTGATCTCGTAAGATCCCTCTCTCCGCTTGTTTTATGCAACAGACAGCAAGTTCTGTCTGCTTTTTGGCTGTTCATTACGAGTGCTACGATGAAATTAGCGATTAGGGTTTCGAGGAGGATTATTTGGTGCACAACTTGCTGGTTCATTCGAGGCTGTATCTGGCGGAGGCCTTCGTTCGATCATTTTGTGCGTACAAGGATTCAATAAGTTGTATTGCGTGTGGGATTTCTGACTTTTTTTTTTGTTTTAGTGGCAAGCCGCTGAATGGGCGCTTACAGGTTCAGAAATCAGAACTCCCAAGTCGCAACCCTTTGGAATGAAAAGTTAACAGCAATACAGCACTAGAGAATCATAACTAGAGTCTAGATGATAGGCACAAATTTTTTTGCTTATTAGTATTGTACAACCATCGGTCTCCCCACCACCACACTGAATTTGTTTCAGTGAATTGTGTCCTTACCTGATGGTTGGTGCAGGGACACACAAGATGCTGCATCCTAGCTGGGTCGGCGTCTCGGCGTACATCTCGGAGTATTGGTCTGTGATAATCGCCACTGTTGTTTTCGCATTTGTTGGTGCGGTGACAATTTACTACACAGTCAATCAGTTGAACAAGAACATCAGCTTGAGCCTGATAAAGGCTATCAAGGCCAGGGCCAAGAGATACAAGAAATGGAAGGACAAGGTGCCTGCTGCGTCCCACATCTGGAGGAAAGAAGTTGTCCCCCGCAGTAAAGGCCTGAAATGCTGCGTGTGCTTGAAGTCCGTTTCACCTCCTCAGTACTCTGGGGGGACCATCCATCAGTGCGATATCTGCGGCGCCGCCGCGCATCCGAGCTGCTCGGGGAATGCGCACAAGGATTGCAAGTGTGTATCTATGGCTGGTTTGGACCATGTGCTTCACCAGTGGGCTGTGCAATGGATCGACAGTGCGGATCACTCTGAAGAAGACTCTTTCTGTTGCTACTGTGATGAATCTTGCAATGGGGCTTTCCTTGCGGGGTCTCCGGTTTGGTACTGTATGTGGTGTCAGAGGCTGGTGCATGTTGATTGTCACAGCAGCTTGGCCAAGGAAACTGGTGATATCTGTGACTTGGGACCACTGAAGCGGTTGATATTATCACCTCTTTGTGTTAAGGAGCTTCATTGGACAGGTGCTGGGATTTTGAGTTCTATCACAAATGGGGCTAATGAATTGGCTTCTACTGTCCGAGAGACAATTCGGATTCGTAGTAAAAGGTACAAAAGGAGTAGTGCTTCTGCTGATTCAGATAGCTCTGTGGCTATTGAGCTACCATCTGATGTTGAAGGAGATTCAGAAGAAGTAAACAGCGCAGCAAAGAGGAGGGATGATCAGGCCAAAGGCGAACTCAATGAGGTACAGCAAAGCTCTGAATCAGAGAAAGATAAGCAACATGTACCAGATAACGCAGCTACAACTAATAGATCAAATGTACAACGTGAGAATTCTCATGTACAGAACAATCAGAAGTATGAAATTATCAACGTGCCTTCTGATTCTAGGCCACTTCTTGTTTTCATTAACAAGAGAAGTGGTGCACAGAGTGGTGATTCACTGAGACAGCGCCTGCAGATTCTTCTTAATCCTGTGCAGGTTGGTATGCTTCAAGCTCTTTAACCAGTTTTCAGTTGTGTAAGTTTCCTTGTAGATTTTCTCTGTTTTTTTGACACATCTAGCACCCCTTTTTATTTTATATATATATATTTTTTAGCACAAATCAAGTAATGTTATCGTGTGGCTTATATATCTTTAGGGCTGACTGCAGCTTTAATAAATCCTCTTATATTCGATTTATCCAAAACTTTATTCTGTGCACAACCTTTTGTATCGGTAAAGTTTAGCTCAAGTTGCTTAGTTAAGTTCAGTTAATCCTCCACCTTGTCTTTGTAAACTGATTCATTTTATTGGTTCTGGTGGTTATTGATGATATAACTAGAAGCAACTTTCTATTATGGTACTAACTCATTTCCGTTAGGTTTTCGAGTTGAGCAAACAGCAAGGTCCAGATGTTGGTTTAGCTTTATTTCAGAAGGTAACCCATTTCAGAGTTCTTGTATGTGGTGGAGATGGCACTGCTGGATGGGTTTTGGATGCCATTGAGAAACAGAAGTTTGAAACTCCACCTCCTGTAGCCATCCTTCCAGCTGGTACTGGTAATGATCTTGCGAGGGTTTTATGTTGGGGTGGTGGCCTTGGTGTTATTGAGAAGCGGGGAGGTCTATTCTCAGTTTTGCAAGATGTAGAGCATGCAGCAGTCACTGTTCTTGACAGATGGAAGATCACCATAAAGGACAACCAAGGGAAACTTATGGCACCACCAAAATTTATGAACAACTACTTTGGTATGTCCATGCAACTATTTCTTTGCTAGGATTCTTTGGTAGATTCCTGCATAGTCAGATAACCATAATACACTTGCTTTTTCAGGGGTTGGCTGTGATGCAAAGGTTGCCTTAGATATACACAATCTGAGGGAAGAGAACCCTGAACGGTTTTATAGCCAGGTAACACCTGCTTGCTTGCACCCTGACTCCCTGCTATGTTTCCTGACTCCTTTGCACTTGTTGGTGGACTTGTGTTGCACTTTTGCAAGGATGACAATGCTCTATTGTTCTTTATTTTCCCAGTTTCTCTTGGACGAATTATGCTATGAAAATTTAGTGTTCAGAGTAGCATAAGGCAATATGTACAAGCTTGAGGGCTTTAACTTCTGTACATATTGTTTGTTGATTATTATATCTGTATAAAGTATAATAGATATTATTACATCAAATGTACAAATATATGTTTTTAAACTCGGTAGTAGTGCTGGAAATATTAAATATTCCTATTGCTTTAACTACTGTTTGGTAGCACATATATCTGAAAATATGTAGTAGTGCTGGTTTGAAATTGTTGAATAGGTCTATCTTATACACTGCTTTGGCAATCTGAAAATGGGTTTTACTCAAATCTTGATAATCTATTTTCTTTGATAACTTTTTGAAGACTCATGTAGTCATGTTTGCATTACTAATTGCTACAGTTGAACTTTCATATGGTAATCATATTCCCATGCTTGACAATTTTTCACGCTGTTTATTCTGCACATGCACCATTCTATGTATTAGTTACACAGTTTTTTCCTATCCCTGAATAGGATACAACTATTTTTGTAGTTTATGAACAAGGTGCTGTATGCAAGAGAGGGAGCAAAGAACATTATGGATAACACATTTGATTGTTTTCCTTGGGATGTCAAGCTCGAGATAGATGGATCCAAAATTGATATTCCTCAGGCAAGTGCATCGCATTGTGACTATTCTTCTCTGCTCTTTTTACGTTTTGGCGTAAACACATTATTTTGACTGGCATATCTGCAAGAAAGAATTCATAAGAAACCCAGTTATGCACAATAATGACGAAATATAGTTACTACACTTCAAGGAACTTTTGCAGGCTTCTTATGTCCTTTGAACATATTGGAGAAGCATCTTCTAGTAAAACTATGTGGCCTTACTTTTTATTCCTTTGATTTGCAGGACTCTGAAGGTATCCTTGTCGCCAATATCAGGAGCTACATGGGAGGGGTTGACCTTTGGAAGAACGAGGATGATGTCTCTGACACTTACCTCCCTCACTTCATGCATGACAAGAAACTGGAAGTTGTTAGCTTCACAGGAATGCTGCATCTCGGAAGACTGCAGGTATGGAAGAAGTAATCTTCCTCATTCTAGGCTCTATGGTGTTGGTTACCTGATATAATAAAATAATTAACCACCGATTAATGGATAATGGCTAAACTTGCTCTAGGTTGGGCTTTCTCGTGCAAAAAGATTAGCCCAAGGTCATCATATAAAGGTTGAAATCAGTACTACAATGCCAATTCAAGTTGATGGAGAGCCATGGTCCCAGGAGCCGGGCACCATAGAGGTTTCTCATCATAGCCAGGTTCACCTCTCTCCCTTTAGTTTATATACATTTAACTGCATCCGCGTTTTTCCTGTCTTCCCTGGCCTACAACGATGCCTCTCTTGTGCAGGCCTTCATGCTTAAGAGAGTCTCCGAAGAACCACTCGGTCATGCCGCTTCGGTAATGGCCGACATCTTGGAAAACGCCGAGAACAGTGGCATTATCTCAGCCTCGCAGAAGAGGACTTTGCTCCAGGAGATAGCATCTAGGCTTTTGTAGGACAGTTCTAACGCTAGTGCTTCTAGTTGTGTGTAGCTCACCCTATAGCTTTCTCTCACGTTCTCAGCTGCCAGAGGCTTCCTTCCGGGCTACTAGGGAATCACCGCCTGGTCGTTTGTACATACGGTCATGGTATCTTATGCCTGATTGGATTGTGCTTGTGTATAATTCTGTGTAAAATTTTGTACACCCTATTGGGATTATCTGAGCCTTAGTTGCTTATTGCACTAAAAGAGCTTATCTGTGTGCTCTTCCTCGCAAAAAAAAAAGCTTATCTGTGCGCTCTTCCTCGAAAAGAAAAAAAGCTTATCTGTGCGCTCGTGCTTGTTGAGGCTGGAAATTCTGATACCGGTCGTATGGATTGCTGAAACTTTAAACAACGGTTTTTCTGCTTTGTTCTTGTACTGGGTTTCATTTTTCATCTTCTCACATAATTTGTATATTTGTCCCTGTTTGTCCTATATAAGAAAAGTAAAATAGATTTATACTAGCGGCAGTAACAAGCAAGCCCGTCTAGCTCAGTCGGTAGAGCGCAAGGCTCTTAACCTTGTGGTCGTGGGTTCGAGCCCCACGGTGGGCGGGTTAACTTTTTGTTGTTTGCTCTGTTGCATTTTTCACATGTCTTCATTTTTGTCGTGTGTTTGCTCATTTTGTACTCGATCAGCTCCATTTCTATTCTTGTCTTGATTTCGAAAACCATGTTCTTGAGTTTCTTGGTTTTCGTTTCGCGGCCAACCGGTTCGTGGAACCATCCTTATCTTGGAGGCCACTTGTTGGCCTACTGGCTGGCTGAGATGCCGGTCAGGGCTGGCGGCTTCCAATGTTTGTCCCTTGAAGCTGATCTCCATTTCTTTACTCCCCTGCACTCTCGAGGTGATCAGCCAGTCAATGCAATGCTTCCTTCACCAGAGATACATACATATATACGAGACGAAGCCTGTTTTGTTCATCTTCAGTTCCCCTCATTGATCCGACTCGACTTGTGCACCAGCAATAGCAAATAGCAAACGCAATGAGGCTCCTGGTGGCGCTATGGGCGGTTCTTGCACACATCCTGGGCTGCGCCGACGTGCTGCACGCCGGCCACCAGCCGCTGTCGAGGATCGCCATCGAGAGGGCGACGGCCGCTCTCGTCGATTCGGCGAGCATCAATGCTCACCCCACGGTTCTTGGCCTTAAGGTGCTCCTGCTTCCCTCACCTTCTCTTCTTCAGTACCACTTATCTCTTGCTCACTCCCATTTCCTCGAACTGAAAACGTGCTTGCTACTGATCGTGCGTGTCTCGGCTTGGGACATGGTCACTTGGTGGTGTTCCAGGGTCAGAGCAGTGACTGGGTGGTCGTCGAGTTCTCGCATCCGAACCCCTCCAACGACGACTGGGTCGGCGTCTTCTCTCCTTCAGGTTTCAGGTGAGCTCTGCAACTGATGACACCCGTACTGTCCCTTCTTCAGACGATGACATTTCACCTCTTCATTCACATGTTCAGCTCTGAAACCTGCCAGCCTGAAAACTGGATGGACCAACCACCCTATTTGTGCACGGCACCGATAAAGGTCATCAGTATTCAGTACTACTTGCTCTTCCATCATACTACTACATTAGCACCGTACATGACATGGATCATCAGAGACTGAATTTTGGTGAGTGGGTTCACCTGCAGTTCCAGTATGCAAACTTCACGAATGATGCCTATAATAAGAGTGGGAAGGGATCCTTGAGGCTGCAGCTGATCAACCAGAGAGCGGACTTCGCCTTTGCGCTCTTCTCTGGAGGCTTCTCAGCTGTAAGACTTCAATTCAGCCCATGTTCTCAACTTTAATTTTGTCTAATGAACTACGGCCATACGATAATTTGGATGGTATTTTCTGACAATTTGTTTTTAATAAACTGTAATGTATAGCCCAAACTGATTGCTGTCTCAAACAATGTGACGTTTACAAATCCAAAGGCGCCTGTCTACCCTCGGCTGGCGCAAGGGAAGTCTTGGAATGAAGTGAGTTTCAATTTCTTTTCCTCTGATTTGCTGGTGCAATGCATGGATGATGGTTCCTTGAGAGCCAATGCATTTGTTGATACGTCCCTGTCGGCGTCTATCTCTCTATGATTCAGTGATTGGATTATTGTTAATATCATGGTAGATGACGGTCACCTGGACAAGTGGATACAGCATCAAGGAAGCAGTGCCTTTTGTGGAATGGGGCCCTAAAGGCAGAGATCGAACTCTTTCTCCTGCTGGAACATTGACATTTGGAAGGAACAGCATGTGTGGTAGGTTTATGATATCAACTTGCTGTACAGAAGGCACCCCTGGCGCCAAACACTACGGTCCTGGACTGAGGACAAGCATGTCGCACCGCTAATGGTGTTTACCCATCAAAGGATACAGCCCTGCATCTTTGCATGATATCCTCTTTTGTCAATGAGGTCATCTGCTGGACCGTTTTGTGTTCGTTTTCGAAGATCCTCCTATTCCTCTCCTTCCACAAGTTCCATACAATGTAAATGAGGATTCCATTGAACCGCCTTCGATCCTGCTTTGGCACCTTGCTTGCTGCCTCCTCCCACCATTTGGCAATGCCTGTGGGGTCTTGCTGTGTTGCTGTGGGCCTTTTGTCAACTTGCCTTTCACTTTGCAATAAGTTTCTTGTATGTACATGTACCGATTAACATAGCATGTTTACATTTTTTTTCTGAAACACTGACTGCAGGTTCACCAGCACGGACAGTCGGATGGCGCGATCCAGGTTATATTCATACAAGTTTCCTGAAGGAGTTGTGGCCCGATGCCTTGTATGCATCTAAACTGATTCTTTGGATCTTGGGACATTGCATACTAGGTTATTACAGAGAAAGGCAACATTTGTTTCTTTCTGTTCATGCTACAGGTACACTTACAGGCTTGGTCACAGGCTGTCAGATGGTACTCACATCTGGAGCAAGTCTTACAGCTTCCGTGCATCACCTTTTCCAGGGCAAGAATCTTTGCAACGTGTTGTAATCTTTGGGGACATGGGAAAGGTGTGCTGTTGATGATTGTAGATTTTTCTTACAGTTTGGTTCAGTCTTTGACTCACATTTACTCGTTCGTTCAGGCAGAAATAGATGGCTCGGATGAGTACGGTAACTACGAGCAAGCTTCTCTGAATACAACCAAACAGATCATTAAGGATCTGGAGAACATTGACATGGTCATCCACATTGGAGATCTTTCATATGCTAATGGATATTTGTCGCAGTGGGATCAGTTCACAGAGCAGATAGAACCGATTGCTTCAACTGTGCCTTACATGATTGGCATGTCAGTTTCAGTTCAGTTCATTTTTCAGGAACTTTCAAGGATAACTATGCTATCTTAATTATGTGATGATGTAAATATGTGATAACTCTTCTTAATTTCAGTGGTAATCATGAGAGAGATTGGCCTGACACCGGATCGTTCTATGGATACAATGATTCCGGTGGCGAATGTGGTGTTCCTACTCAGACTATGTTCTATGTCCCTGCCGAGAACCGGGCGAAATCCTGGTAATTACCGCATAAACCCAGAACCATCATTTGTTTAAGTTAAATTCTACATCTACTATGGCTGAAACTATTGTGACCTCTAGGTACTCGACAGATTATGGCATGTTCAGATTCTGCATAGCTAACACTGAAGAGGACTGGAGGCCAGGAACCGATCAATATAAGTTCATCGAGCATTGCTTGTCGTCAGTCGACAGGCAGAAGCAACCATGGCTCATCTTCCTCGCACACCGGGTTCTTGGGTACTCATCAGGTGGCTGGTATGAGATCATGATGGGTTCATATGGGGAGCCGATGGGCCGAGAAGGGCTCCAAGATCTTTGGCAGAAGTACAAGGTCGATTTAGCGGTTTTCGGTCACATTCACAGCTATGAGCGCACCTGCCCCATCTATCAGGCAAGATTGAACTAGTACTTCTGTTTCAGAAACTATCCCCTGTTCACTTGAGCTTATTCAGAACTACTTTTCAGCCATAGAACAGTGTTTTCCTCTTACAACATTTCAGCATAAGCCAAATTTCAGCATAAGCGAACAGGATGTATTGCAAAAGTTTGGTAGTATATTAATTTCCACCTTCCTGCCAGTAATCCTGTTGCCCCTTTGTCCTAGTCAGATTTGTACCGTCCATTTTAGGCCAGTTTGGTTCCTTATCAATTCATATAATAGGCAGTTATCTTACCTGTCGTTAAAAAAAGTTAGATGAGAAGGAACTCATTTGCTGGATTTGGTACAGTCAAAAGTACTCTTGAGTAGCAACTTACTGTACAAAATCATTAGCGTGACAGTTTCTCTATTTGCAGAACCGATGTGTCCAGGATGGATCTAACCACTATAGCGGGCGATTCAACGCGACAATCCATGTCACTGTTGGTGGCGGTGGGGCGAGCCTCTCTACATTCAGAAACAATGTGCCATATTGGAGCTTCTTCAGGGACTCTGACTTTGGGTTCGGCAAGCTCACAGCCATCAACAACTCGTTCCTATTGTTTGAGTACAAGAAGAGCCTTGATGGCAATGTGTATGATCATTTCACAATCTCGCGCGACTACCGTGACATTATGGCCTGCTCCATCGACAATTGCCCCCGTAGCACATTAGCCGTTTGATCAAGCTCCAGACTCTGTAGGGACATGTGTTGATACACTATGTGATGCTTTGGTATAGTTATGTGATGTTGTCGCTTGATACCCTGTCAAATCTAGTTAGTTAAAGGAATCTTTACTGATTTTCTGGGTGTTTATTATCGATGCTCTAGAAAACAATGTTTACAGGTATGTTTGGCGCTGCAAACTCCAACTCGATAACTAACTATAAAAATTCTTCCAACTGGAGTAAATTTATTGCATTGCTAAAAAAATGATTTTTGCCGACGCCTCATTTTTACTGTATAGGCTCTGTTAGAAATAGTGACCGGTACAATGTGTGTGTGGGTGGATGTGTGGTGATGGTGGACCTGTTCGACAGGACTGAAAAATAAACCAAAATACTGTTCCGGCTGATTATTGAGAGGTGAAAACACTGTTCACACGAGAACAGTGTGCGCTGAGAGTGGATGTGTGTGCGTGTGTGGTGATGGTGGTGCGTGTGTGTTTGTGGGGGTGGTATAGTGGTATTAGACAGCCGCCTCTAAAAATAGAGGTAATTATAGAGACAGATATCTTAAATAATTGTCACTATAAATGCCATTTTTAGATGTGGTTGCTTAAGATCACTATAAATGCTATTTTTAGATGCAGTTGCTTAGAGCAACTCCAATAGAGTTGCTATTTCCCATCAGGTCTTCTAATTTGGAGAATTTGGTGTGAAATATGACTCCAACAGACTGTCCATCCAATTGTCTAAAATTAGCAAGCTGCTATTCCTTAATTTTCATTGTTGTAGTACTCTACCTTTTTTTTCATGGTTTTCTATTTTAGATTTAGATAATGGCTAAATCATACAATTTTAGAAACTATTTTTACATAGTCTCTTGGAGTTGCTCTAAGTAAGCAATTTCTGAGGTTACTCATGACATGTCGCGAGGGGTTGGTTGATTGGCTTCTCCTAGATTTAATCAAATTTTTATCATTTTCTTGTCTGGTTTTAAAATTTTAAAAAACGATTTCTAGAAGCGGCTGAATGTCCACCCCACCTTAAGAAATTGCTGATTTCTACAGTCGCATAGGTAGAATGCTTTAAAAAAACATTTCTACGGTAGTGGTAGACTCGGACACTGCACCTGCAACTAGTAGGGATGCAATGTGTGGGTTGTCCCTGTAAATGAATTTATTTTTTGTGGATTACCATATAGCCTGTAAAAGCCTATTTACAAATTTACGGATAAGGATAACCTGTCTTGGCGTCTTGCATCCTAGCAGCTACTCTGCATGCATGGAGCCAGACGTTACGAGTTACACTAGGACCTCTTCATCAACCAACCAGGAGAATGAGTGCGTCTGCGTGGGGTGTGTGCGTGGCCAAACGCCACGTTCGAGGGACTTCATATAAACGTCCAACGTTATCCATCCATGGTCCCTAAAACTAACCTAAATATAAATTAACTCCTTTCATCATTACCGAAAGTAACTAGAATAAAATATAATCCTCATCTATGTAATCCCATCTGTGTATATATCACACTATATAAAAGTAATCAAACGGTGTTTGGGAAATGGGAAATGGGGGCTGGGATAGGGAAAATAAGAGGTGGGATAGATTTAATCCCATATTTAGATAAGGGGAAACAAAGATAGGGATAGGGAAATAAAGACTAGCATACCCATCTCATACCTTCTCCTTTTATCCCAATCCACTTCCCTTTCCTTATCCCTATCATCCCCATCCAAACGTATATGAGCATCTATATTATTACGCATGTAGGAGTATGTTCATCGCAGAAAAAAATATCACACATGTATGTGATTATTAAAATAAAATAAAGCTAAATTGAGGTCCCTCACATATATAGAGAGACACAATGAAACTTAATCTAAGTTCCAATTTGACCATGCCTATACTACCGTCATTTTGCCGTGGGCCGTGGACGTTGTTAAGTGCTAAAGGAGAGACGAATTTGTCGTTTCCTCACAATGCTAAACCGTGTTTAATTAATATTTATTATTTCCAATAATGGCTTTTAAGTGTCACATGGTCAATTTGCACGTAAAATAGACAAAGCGTGTGCAATAATAGACACACACTAAAACATAGAAACCATATTTCCAATTGATGGTGTTTTTTCGAAAAAATTCTTCATCGAACCTCTGTTTCTTTCTCTTGTATCCTCTCTTATCCCTACACCCTTGCTTAGTTTCATGGCGACCTAGCTTCTTGCACAAGAAATCATTTCTTTGTCTCTATTTCTCTATTGATCTACTACTGCTTAACCCTAATTCTAAATTACCATTTTTGTTACATTACATGAAAAATTAATTAGTTAATTACTCCCTCAGTCCCTAAATAAATCAATTTCTAGAATCCATGCAAATCAAATGATCTTAAATTTGACTAACTTTATAGAAAAGAGTAACAACTGTGACATAAAGTGAGCATATTATAAAAATACATTTTGTGGTATATCTAACGATACTAATTTGATGTCATAGATCTTGATGGGTTTTTTCTAGAAATTCAGTCAAAGTTTAAAAGGTTGACTTAAGATAACTCTATAGACATATATTTATTCAAGGACGGAGGGAGTATATTGTACTGTATAGAAGCCGTCCTAGTCATCCTATTGGGATTTACTTTAGATAGTATATATTCAAATCGCTTGTCTTTGGAACTCGGTTCCATCAGGCCACGTCTTTCCTCGTCATAATATCACTCTTTTCTCCGGATCTATCCTACCCCGACACCACCTTATTGTCTATCCACTATGTAACAACCCGAAAATCCACACACCAAAAATCACAACTACAAAATTTTTTCCTCAAGAATCCCATGTGATGATGAGTGTCATGTATAGAAACCCAACCTAAGAGATGCATTAAGTCTAACCCAACCCCAGTCAACATATAAGCATGGCATGTCATTAGATAACTGTGTTTATTAATTTCTAACAAATATAATGTTGCATACATTGTTAATTCAAAATGTGATTTGGATTTCCATTTGAGTTATGATTTGCTAAACAACTCCAATAAAATAATAAACCATAAAGTTATTATTAAACAAAATTCTCTAAACTCCAATGAATAAGTTACCTCAGTTTTGAATTTAAATTCTAAACCAAATTTGAATCCAGCCGCTCGGCCCAAGCTAGCCAAAATTGACCACCCCATCACGGCCGCCTCCCGGTACACAAGAAAGAGTTAAACGGCCGGCCCAACTCAAGGCAACAGCCCATTTCATGGCCCGGTAGCGTTGCTCACCGTGGCGCCTTCTTCTTCTTCGCTGCACCGCTGCCTCTGGACCTCAGGCGTGTGCCCGCACACCCGTCTCATGATGTCGTCTTCCTCACCCACGCCTCAACCGCCACGCCGAATTAGACAGTGGTGGTGGGCGGCACACAGGGTCACGCTGGGCATGGCCTCGCTCCTTGGCGCCGGACCCACGCAACCCTTGCGCCGCGCTTACGCCATCAAGACGCGAGCCATTGGATGCCACCGATCACGCCTCCACCGCTTTGATCGCCGTCCGCCATTGGAGCTTGGAGCTCGGCTATAAAGCCACGGCCCTCGGTTGCCCTAGCGCTCTCCTGTGCCCCGCCGCCACCTTGTGGTCGTCCACAGCACACCCTAGCCAAGAGAGAAGAGGGAGGAGAGGAAGAAGGGGGGGGGGGAGGAAATACCGGAGCCGCTGCCGGGAGGAAGACCGGGAGATCACCAGAGCCGGAGCGGATGACACTGCACGACACGGCTTCCGGAGCTACACGGCCTCGACTCTTCACTGCACCGCTATCCTCTCGCCCTCAACACCTATGGTGAGCCTTCCGGCCTCTCCCTGCTCGCCACCGGACCTTACCATGTTGGCCAAGGCGCTCCACATCGTGAGCGCGTAGGCCAAGGCCATCTCCGGCCACCGGGTACACACGCACGGCACACTCACGCGCACACCGCGACCACCTCCGAGCCCTTGAACATTGTAGACCCCTCCAAGCCCCACGGACACCAAGGCAGAGCACTCAACGCCGCCGTCGTGGCGTGGCCACCACCGGCCAGAGCACCAGAGCACCATGGCCAGTACCGCAGAGAGGGCACCAGATCACCGGCCGGAGCACCAGACCACCGGCCAGAGTACCAGACCACCGGCCAGAGCACCACCACCACCGGCCCGAGCACCAGACCACCATGGCCAGGTCCGCTGGGAGCGCCTGACGTCTCCTTGTCTCTCCCATCCTACTCGCTGGAGCCACGTGATGAGTACAGGCCCGATCTTCCGAGAGGTAGCCGGTAAGTTCGATTTGTGGAGATCTCGACGTTGGCGATCCGGCTTCAAATTAGACGCGATTCGAACCCTGCAACCGTTACACCACTGCTCCGTTGGTTATCAACCAAGCACAACTTGATTGACCTCGCCAAGAAGGCTTTTCCCGCAAGTTTAATCAAGAGCACAAGCAAGAAGGTAAAACACGCAATCTGATATTGCAAATATGAATGACGCGAATATCAATAGAGGGTTCTAGAACTCGGTTCCAAAGGACTAATCGACACGGTGGAGGAGATCAAGAACGGGGGCCCCGGATCACTGTAAAAGGATTTGTCACCACAGTTACAATGAACGATTGGTTCTCGATGGAAAACTAAACTCTAAACAAAACCCAATTGTGTAGCAGCGGCGACGGCTGTGTTTATAGTCTAAGACTCGACCTAGGGTTGGGGACGGCCAGGGGTTGGCGCCCACAACTTGGGCTTAAGGCCCGACACGATACATGGCCAAGTTGGCCCAAATAGGTGACGCAGCACCTTGCCGTGGTCACACAGAATGATCCACGGACCTTCTGGAGCTGGGACCAGATCCAAAACGACGGCGTCGTCGTCCCCTTTCCAACGCATCTAAGAACGGCCCGCTTCGATGTCGTGATGAGAAAGTTATGACCGAAAATGTTGACGACGTGTCCGCTGAATTCGAGGGCGACGTGGCAAATTTGAGTTGGAAACGAATTGCAACTTGGGGAAGACCATGG